CTCTCATCCTACTAGCCCAATCTTCAAACTATAACACCACCAACTTAATGAAACACCTCCAGAAGTTTCATAACAAGGAAGATGCTGAGATTATCAGACTCTGCAAACAAAAAGGAAGCAGCTAACTTCATTGGAAGCAAAGGAAGGAAGTTAAATTTTTCCATGTAACAGTATACAGGCCAGAGATACTTGATAATTACACTTTTTTTTTTTTTTTTTTTACATGTTGACCAAGTCAGAGAACCTTTGGTTTAAGATTTTGTGCACAGTTGTTAAATAAATGAGTCATAACATTTATATTTTGGATATTAAATATATATAATAATATATATATAATAATTTAGTGCTGTTTTTGGTATTGGTATCGGATCGGTATCGGCCGACCTTAAACTTCAAATATCGGTATCGTATCAGAGGTGAAAAAAGTGGATCAGTGCATCATTAACAAAAAAAACAAAACAAAAAAGTACGTAAATTGTTTTTTTGGACATTAATAAAGGGATACACACCCACTGAGGTAGTTTAAAGTCTATTTTTCGTACAAAACTAAAGGGATAAATGGGTATTAACAATTGGTATGCTCATCTGACAGAATGACTCGTTATACTTTCTTTAATATATTTTGAAAAAAAAATTTGTTTTTTTACCTGCTGCAGTTTTTAGTTGATGTTTTCTGTGCAAATGATACAATGGTTTGTTTTTGCTCTTATTTAATTATGAAACATCCGCAAAGGTACAAAACTAAATGTAAAAAGAAAATAAAGGAAGTGAAACTGTTCCTGAACAAATAGTTGTATTTCCTGCCCTGTTGGATTTTATTTAGGATTGTTGTTAAACTCTATTGTGTTTTTCTCTCAAAACAAATCAGATTAGCATCAACAAACAGACAAAACAGAGACAAGCCTAAAAATAGAGAAACAACTTTGTTTCTCAGCCAAAAGGAGTGGAAGGGGGGGTTGGAAATGTGAACATTAACGCACTGCTGCTGTTCTATAAAAAATAACTGGAGGGAGTTGGTTAAACCTCCAGATACAAAAAAAAAAAAAAACTTATTTCAGAAGTTTCTAAAAAACATAAACATCAGCCAGCCTTTAGTTTCCACTTAAGGCATAAAAATATGATGTCTTCCTTAAGTGATGTAACCGTGAAGCTGATAAATCCCTTTTGCTGATGAGCCGACATTCTGAGAACAAAACTAAATTCCTCCCAGAAGTAAAGCTGCTGAGAGTTAAGAAAGAAACAAGTTCAATCTGTTTGCTTTAAAGAAACACCTTCAGTCTTTATCGCTGAAATTCTTCCCATTTCAGGGTCATTTTTTATGCCTTTACATTTTTTGTGTTATGCAAGTGGGCTCTGGCTTTTTAAAGGCATTTTATGTAGTTGAAAAGCTGCTGTTAAGCATGCACTTATGAGATATGGATGAGCAAAGAACAAACGTATGTTTAAGAACAGAATCAAACTACAATCTAAAGCTTTTTTTTTTTTTTTCTGCAGGGCGGGCGGTGAGGAGCAGTTTGGGCTCGCAGAGCGCAGACATTCTCATAGAGATTAATTTCCCCCTCACTCTGCAGCTCCGAAATAAAAACGGTGGCTTCCCTGAAAAGGAGGAAGCGGCTCCCAATTCGGCACGGTAAATGAGTAGCTTTGAAGTCCGACGTATAAAACAGGGTTTACGTGAATAAATAAGCCGCCCGCCGTAGAGCAGCGACGGCTGTAATGAAGTCACACCACAAAGGTTGAAACAAACGATCCTGCAAACAGCACAGAGCTAAATAACGCCACCTGAACGCAGCATTTCACAATCCTGGGAAAGACTGGGAGCCAAACGTCACTGATGTAGAGGAAAAACAACGGGGGCCTTATTCTGAAGCCAAATCATTCATCTCCATGACTGTTCATATAGCACAAAGCCTCCCTTTGATTCCAGCTCTATGAATTAATAATAGGATCCTTTTCTTCTTCTCCCAATATCTGAGTTTGCTTTGTGCTTTAATGTCCATTAGAGTAAAAATACAAAATATATTAGAAAATTATTTGAAATAAACGTTAAAAACTCGGGATGGGGTTTGATAGCAGAAGTGTTGAAATCCAGTGTCATCTCTGTATCTAAACGTTCTAATAAACATAAGAAATGTTTTATTTTTTTAAATGGTTTTACTCTTTGGATTTCCTTCATTTTCTGCTACATCTGTGTCCTTTAGATATATTAAGAAAATACTTTTATTCCCCCTCTTTGATGTGTCATAGAGATAAAAAAAAAACATAATTTCTGTTGAGTGCCATAATTAATTAAAAATAAAAGTTTTCTTTTCATAGAAGATGTTTTAGAGTTTTTCAGAAATCAGCAGAAATGTAATTTTAGAAGAACTTAGATTTTTTTGGGCAGCTTTTTAAAGTTGAATTTCTTGAAAATCCAAACATTTGGCAGAAAAATAAAAAGCAGAGTTAAACCGTAGACCTTGAATAATAAATTCAAGTTTTATTAAATTGTATTTTCATTTAATTTAGAAGATAATCCAATAAACGTGAATAAAAGATTCCACTAACCCGATTTGTTTGTGTTTAAAGTTATTTTAAAAATGGTCAAAAAGTATTTTTTTTTCAATCAATTCTTGTAAATAGTAAAATAATAAAAAAAATGATTAAGAATGCATAGTATAGCATAAAGATGCAGCATTTTAGAGCTGATGGAAAACGAAGTTCCCATTAAAATGTTAACTAAATGAACGTGGATAAAACATAGAAAAATTTAAGGGAGGGTTCAGGCCAAATATTAAAAGCTGTTCTTGTTTTGTTTTTGGGTTTCTAACGTTGTAAAATAGAATTCTAGAGATTGTTTTACCAGATTAGAACAGAAATGTTATGGTAGCCCATCCCGAGCTCTGCCTGCCTGCCTGTCGCCTCTCTGCCTTCCTGCTCTGCCCGTTTCCCCCTGATGCGTTCATGTCATGGAGGGAGAACCGAAACGTGGGACCTCAGTGCTGCCATCCTGCATCAGTCTTTGCCTGCAGGATCCTGACAGCCACAGCTTGGCTCCACCGGTTGGAAGACCTCTCAAACCGTCTCTATAACCGTCGGACAGCAGCTTATCGGTACGGCGGCTCAGGCTGCTGTGGGTTCGGTCTGTAAAGCTGCTGCACTCGGACCGGACGCCCGTTAGCCGGCCAGCCGCCCGGCAGTTGTCCGATCACCCTGAGGCCGACCGGCTGGCCGTGACCTGGAAGCGGGCTGCTGGGGCTGAGGATGTGGGTCTGACCCACTTGGGGCTCAGAGGAGGAGGTACTGCTTTGATGTCCTGGAGCCGAGGCAGGAGGGGAAACGGGGTAATGAGGGACGAGGATGGCCGGCGTTAGGCCGTATCGTACTTGGAACACCCTGAGAGGTCCTTGTGCTACAAAGCCGTTAGGCCGCTTGGGCTCCTGGTGCTGCTCGGAGTCCCTCTTCACCTCGGCGACCCGGTTCTCCTCAGCTTGTTTGCTCTTGTTAGGCTGCTTCTTGGCTTGAATGACCTCCTGCATTTTCTCTGCTTGAGCCCGTCGGATGTGGTAAGTTTTCCTGGAGCTTTGGAAAGAGTCCAGGAACTCATCCAGGCTTAGGTTCCCCTCCATGAATTTATCCAGCAGCTCCTGTGAAACAGAACGGACAAATAAATCAGCATTAGTGGACCAGCTGCAAGAAATCACTCCGACTAAAAAGGTAGATTTTAATCA